ATAAATGAGATTTGATGTAATACTGCATATGAGTGCAGTTCTACAAGAATACGGTTTACTAGAAAACCACTTAAGCCATAGTTAGTCAGTGGTAGCTAATACTGTCAAGGTGAGGTTTTAAATCATTACATTTTTTTTAAAAGGTATTAAACTTGAGAGGATTAACTTTATTCTACCGGATTGTGTCCCATGTTGCTCAGCCTTCGTCCGCAGAACAGCCAGCCGCTTGCCAAAAGCATCATGTGAAGCACAAATTCAGTAGCTGTGGTGACAATCCCCAGGGATCTCTGTAAAAATTGCACCCGTGAAGTGAACAATGCATCTGTGAAATGAATCCACAACATTCAGAGCAGGAGGCCATTAGTTTGACCACTTCGCCATTGAGACACCCATATTTCAGGCCAGGCAGTAATGAAGAAATTGAAAATGTTACAAGTTATTTATACCTTGGCTGTATGATTAACAGACATTACTTTGCAAGTACTAAAGAGGGAGACTTTTAACTTTTTGAACTTGAATGTTAGAAAGCAATTCATAGAAAATGTGGATTAAATCTGTTACCTCCAGAAGCGGTGAAACTGACTTTTGTGGTTGTATCTATTTCCCCATAAATATCAGTTTTTTGGCTTGTCTACTAGAGAGACATAATTAATGCTATTGATTGAGTTCACACCTGCACAGACGTTCAGGAGGTCAGGATATGAATGCATTAACCAAAAATAGCAACAAGGTTTCTTCTGAATTAAATAGATTTTTGAAAGCCACGTTTATGTCAGATTGTCCCATAAACCTCAGAGACAAAGGTTACAGGGTCATAGCCTGAGCCAGCCAATGCATAAAGTTTTTAACCCTAAATAAATGCAGTACATATGTTTTTATTATTTTCTTTAGATTTTTTTTAAAATTTGTAATGTAGATAAATAAACTGTAAACAAATTTTGTGTGACCTGTGATTGTTATTTTGATTACAGATTTTTATGGGAAATACATACAGTGTCATTGCCCATTTATTTTGGTTTTAGCATAAGCAAGTTGAGAGGGTTAAAGCAAATGTCATATTCTTTACAAGCAGCGTCCCTGGCTTAGGCGTGCGAGTGCGACTTGTAATTTCAATGTACCGCTATCAAAACCCACTGCAGGCTGCGTGGATTTTTATGATGTTATGGGGTGTCGCAGGTTGACCCAGTCTTAAATGGGAACCAGGATGTATGTTCTGGGAAAGTAAAGATGGCCGGTGTAATGCTGACCACATTACCCACCTAGTGTCGATTGGTCTGTAAAAATATGGGTGCTTTTCCCATATGCCCGATGCGCATGTAAAAAAGGATCTTTACTTACTTTACTATGTTCTTTACAGGACATTTCACAACACTCCATGGCATTGGCTGTTTGGTGTTTCACTGAGTCTCATCTTGATCCAGTCTAAAATTGGTACCAAGTAAAGTCTTGGGTGGTAAAGGTGGCTAGCATAATGTTGACCATATAGCCCATTGAGTGCCATATGGTTGACCCCAAAATTTGTTTTTAAAGTATCAGTCTAGCATCAAATAGCTGATGCACTGCTGCCGTGATTCTTAACCTTCCTAATGCCGTGACCCTTTAGTACAGTTCCTCATGTTGTGGTGACCCCCACCATGAGATTTGTTTTTTGTTACTTCATAAATTCAGTGAATATGTGTTTTCTGATGGTCTTAGGGGACCCCTCTCAAAGGGTCGTTCAACCCCCAAAGGGATCGCGACCCACAGGTTGAGAACTACTGCATTACTAGCATGTAAAGGGTCCTTTACTTTCTTAACTAACAGCGAATAATTTCACCCGTTTTAACTCCTTCAGTCCTAGCGAATGCATCTTACGTTAATAGGTGCCTACCTAGAAGCCAAGTGAATTCAAGATGTGTCAATTTTACATCTCTCTTTAATGCTAAACCATCTGGTACTGAAAGAGATAATGTGATCTCATATTTTAACTGCCTTGAGAACTTCTGTATGATTCCTACTGACTTTTAGATAATTCACATGAAATTTGCTGGTGGCTGGAATGAAGCATTATTAAAACTGTTATAATGGCAAGTGTTTTCTGTTGTCTTTTTTGTTGACCCATGGAATTAGTGAAGCCAGAGCAAGATAAATGATGTTGAATGGTCTTATGTGTTAACATGGAGGCATATTATCAGTAGGACTGATCCAGAAAGCTAAGAATAGAAATCTTTGCAATGACATCTTCTTTCTTCTTCTCCTCCTCCTCCTTCTTTTTCTTCTACTTCTTCTTTTTCTACTCCTCCTATTCCTCTTCCTCCTTCCAGCATTCACCGGCTAACTCTGGAAGACAATGTTTGGTTCTTTGAAGTGGACAAACGAGCAGAACTTTCTGCCAGAGTTTACAGCCGGCAAACGTTTAAGAAGAAGAAGTATGGTAACTATAGCTTTTGATCATCTATAGCTTGTGATCCTCTATAGCTTGTGATCCTCTATAGCTTGTGATCCTCTATAGCTTGTGATCCTCTAACTTCGCTGTGTGCGCACCCCTGGACCCCCAACAAGCATGTCATGAAAGGACTAATTATGGGTTTGTTGGAACAAACATCGGTGACCAGGTCGCCCATTGGCTGTCCAGTAGACGACTTCTTCGTGGGTCGGGAACGTTTTTAGGTCTTGTCTCATTGATCAGCACTGCAGACATGTAAAACAGATGTGCGCGGAAAACTTAAAGTTATGGAACAAAACCAAAGTATGGTAATAGACAAATAATTAGAACTTTCCGCCGGAGTATACAGCCGAGAAACACTAAAAAGAACAACACCCACCTGGACTATGGGTTGCTTCGTAACCGTTGTGTGGTACCTGGCTAGATTCCGTACTCAGTATCGAAAGCATTGTACATGTCTGCCAGTCCTATGGGGAAAATGCCCCCTGATGCTGTACCATACAAGGCATGTATCAAAAGAAGAGAGGGACGAAGAGCAAGAGGTAGACCAAGAACAAGATGGGAAGATAACATCAGAGAAACTCTACAGCACCACGATGTGTCTTTGGTCGAAGCCGCCAGAAGAGCACGAAGCAGGACCGTATATTTCCCTCGACACCCGAAGCGGTAAAAGAGGACGTAAAGAAAAATAAGGTCTTATGTGACCAGTTAACGGAACAACATGGTGATGATGACGTTTAACAGGGCTATTCACCTGGCGGCCCGTGAGCTAAATCTGGCCAGCGGTGGCCTAGCAAGCGACCTGCGGATAATGGCCAGTTGTATAATGATCAGGCTATCCTCCGAATAACGGGCAGGAAAGATGGCGGCCGCAAAATATCCTTTCGAGCCACAGTCACGTGTCAATTGCGCACGAGCACATCGCGGGAAAACTAGGATTAGTGTCTGTTGACAATTCCGAGAAACGGAACAAACCGCCGAGAGTCTCCCCGGCGCGGATGGGGCTAAACTAGATGGCTGGGACCCATGAGCAGCAGCTTCCGCATCTCCTGCAGCTTTGCTAGTGAGTCCTAGCTGTCGAAACCATTTGATTCAGCCAGGCTTCCTTAGCCACTTTGCATTTGTTCACTATTATTTTTTTTATATTATAGAGTATTCTTCTTTATCATTCCTTTTCTTCCCTCTTTCATCCACCAACTGCAGAATATCAGTTGACATCCATTTCTTTTTTTTTTTTTTTTTTTCAACTCTATGGGTTGGTGGAATTGTCTCTTTTGGTGTCTGCTGAACTGAATTACGCAACATATCCCACTGTTTATCAATAGTCTGTATAATTTCCATTGCATTATACCGGTTTTGTACAGTGACATTGTATTGGTCCTTAATTTCTTTATCCGTTCTAAGAACTCCCAAATTTAACCTGATGTTCTGTGGTGTTTTTCTAATGTTCTTTAGTTTTATTCTAATTTTTCCTACAACTGGAACATGGGCACTAAAGCAGTCTGCTCCTGGTCTAGTTTTTGCTCCAACTAAGCTGTTCCGGAATCTTCCTGAAATCAAAATATAATCAATCTGATTGCTGACATTATCGCCAGTACTTTTCCAAGTCCACAATCTTCGAGGATGGTGTTTAAACCAGGTATTACCTATTATCATGCTGTGCGACTCAGTCCATGCTATTAATCTGTCACCTCACACATTCTTTTCTCCTAAGCCATAACCACCCGTTATTCTGTACACTATATATCTATCTTCTTTGACCCCCCAGGATATTACAAAAGTGATAAACATCCGATGACACAAAGTGCCATCATGTGGATGAGGATCACCAGTGGAGAGGCCCAGAAACCGCGTTCAGCCATTAGACCATATTTATGGCCGGGTTATATTGCGGCTCCTGGCAAGAGCCAGAGCAGGGCTTCAGATAACGAAAAATTGCATCCCACAAAGGAATGACAAGATAACTGAATAATTCCGTACACTGACTGACTGACTGACTTTCTACCCCACTAGGACATCACACAAGCTATAAACACCCGATGACACAAAGTGTCACCATGCGGATGAGGATCGCCGTGGAGAGGTCCCAGAAACCGCGTTCTGACATTTGGCCATATTTATAGCCTGCCTATGTTGCGGCCCCCGGCAAAAGCCAGGGTGGAGCTGCAAATAAAAAATTTCATCCTGAAAAGGACGATAGGGAATAACAGTAATTCCGTACACTTTTTCGCTTACCATTTTGGCGTTGAAATCCCCAATTACCATTGTTACTTCACAATTTTTGCATTGATCTACAGCCATGTCAAACTCATCAGAAAATGCGTCGATATCTTCCTCTGAACTATCTGCTGTTGCACATTCCTATGAGCACCCCATTCTCATCTTTAGCAGCCAGCGAAGGCCTAGAAAAACAAACATATAATAAAAACAATATCCAATTAATAATAATCAGTATAGATATTTAATAGAAAACAAATAGCCTACCACTGCTTTCGTAGAGAGCCTGCATTATTAAGGGAAATAACTACGTGTGATAAATGTAACAAGTTATGGGAGTTATGTCGACATAACAAACATGTCGGGCCCGCTGGTGAATACTTTTGAAGTCCCTTCGTGGTATGTTTTCTGTTTTGTAAACACTTTGTCCAGTGCTTTCAGACTCAGTTATAGTAATGCGCATATTTTATAGTATGCCGCTTTACCATTTTTGATTAACACAGCAAACAGCCTTTATAAGTCGTACTAAAATGTGGTTAACTAAACTTAAGTTTCGTATAATTGTGTGTAACAGTAGTGTAACACACTGTGTTGGTTGCGCTCTTTCGGTACTCCTACGGATATCGGATATCGCACTGTGTTTTTATTTTTTTTATTTCAGTGTAATTATTATTCGATAATGCCTATTGTATGTAAAAAAAATACAATATGGTCACGTTACTTTATTCTAGTGTGGCCTAGAATAATAAGAATATGTGAAGGGTTGTTCTATATCTTCTCTTCATATCATTTGTGTAGTTTTTTGCAAACAACTGCAAGCTTAAAAACAAATTAAAATCAAAATCACCGGCAACGGATCAGTGTTAAAACTAATTACAATAATAATAATTATAGGTACTTTTTCAGATTTTCATAATCACTTTTTACTTGTAAAATAAAAATCACTACAGCTGATTACATATATTAGAAAGCTCTTTCCGATAAATATTATTCCAAATTATAACTGTAAACAATGAAAGAGCTTAATTGTTAATATTAAAATATTGGGCTCTCCTCCTAACTTCTACCCGATATTATGGCGGCCAAACAAATACCCTGACAGTGCCTTAGTCATGTGTAAAATGCAGACTTCCTGCGACGAACACATCGCAGCAAAACTAGGATTACTTGACAATTTCACGACACGCAACACTGCAGACGATAGTAGCAGACTATATTTCGAGCATTTCTGCAGACGATACTAGCGACCATTATCAGTTTCAGGACACGCAACATTACAGACAATAATATGGAGATGACGGGCAGACTACGAGCTTCGACGCAGATTAGTGATAGTGCTATTCCGATTAAACTCACAGCCATGCGCGGCGCGGATAGGGATCTCAACTAGATGCCTTGGACTAACGAGCAAATAAATTGGAGGATGTTGAAGGAGATGTGGTAGCTGCTCCTCGTGAGTTTCAGCCATCTAGTTTAGCCCAACCCCCCCCCCCCCTCCCATCCGCGCCGTGTGTAGCGACGCGGGGATACTGTCAGCGGTACGGCAAAGTCGTAGAAACAGGTCCGCAATTAACATATCGCTGAAACCCTGTTAGAGCATTTGTTTCGTTATTTGTAGCCGGTCCTAGTTTTGCCGGTATGTGTTTGTCGCAGGAAGTCCGCATTCTGCATAGGACTGAGGCCCTGTTTGGTTATTTGTTTGGCTGCCATAATATCGGGTAGAAGTTCGGAGTAGAGCTAAATATTGGCTAACTATTCAATTATTATTCCCCCCCCCCCCCCCCCCCCCCCCCCAAGTTAAATTATTGGTATCAGGAAATGTATTTGGCAGTAAAATTTAATCAAAGTAAAGCATCATCATTGACATTGAATTATTTATGAGAAAGGCAGCAAGCAAAACTAAACTGAAATGTTGTCCAGTGCAGTGTTCTACAACCTTTGGGTTGGGGGGGGGGGGGGAGTCCCAGTAGGCCCCTAGAGAATTCTACTTATTTATGTAATGAGGTGGGGTTAGTTAGTTGGAAAATGTAACTTTGTGACATTGGATTAACAAGTAAACTGCTATCTGCATTCGTTTTTCTTGCATGTTTTGTTAGCTGTCAGGTTGGCTGTGAAACAGTCTCCATTGTTTTGGTGGGCCACGGGTGTCAACAGGTTGAGGAACACTGGTCTGGTGTGTCTTCATCTGTAGATATTCTTCATCCTGTTTCCTTTATGTATTTATCTTTATATTCTACTTCTTGGACCCATCTTGAGCTGACCCCATTCTCGTCATCTCTAGCTGTCCTCCTTCTTGCCTGCAGGGGATATTTGTCTCTGCACTCTACTTCTTTAATCCAGCAAGAGGTATAGGACAACCTAGTAGAACATGGACTGAGGGAAGGGAGCTCTTACAACCTAAGACTTTACAGCATTCTTGACATACCAAGCAACCCAAATGCGCTCTGGTTCAACTGCCGATCATCTGTTAGACTGCTGTGCCAAGCGGCATAAAGCAGATGATCAGAAAAGAAGAAAGAAAAAGAGTATTATCTTTATATTCAGACTGTTTGTATATGTACCATGGAACCTCGTTATTCTTAGTAATATTTTAACATAACTAATGGGCTTAATCGGTCGCCATGGTGAAGCGGCTAGACGCTCGCCTGCTGCTAATGGATTCGGGCCCTGGCGGACTTTTTTTCGGAAATGACCCTGACTCCCATGTCAACTCAGCCTTTAGTAAGTACCAGGTTCAGTCCTTGGAAGTATAGGTGGCCGGCATGATGCTGAACACATTACCCATCAAGTGCCAGTTGGTCTATCAAATATAGGTCTAGACATCTATGCCAAATTTGCCTAAAGGTATAGAATAGGGCCCTTTACTCTTTTTTTTTTTTTACTTTACTGAATGGGCTTAATCATATTTCAGGGCTGGCAAACCTCCTGCAGGACTCCATTTAGATGTTTTAAAAGATGGAAAAATGATTCAGGTATTGGTATTGTTTTAGCACTTTTTTCTTTTTGTTGTATCAGATTGCCTTTTTATAGTTTGTTGTGACTAGAGCGTGACAGCACAAGGTGTCACGTAAGTCTTCATACATGGGAGAAATAAATATGTCACCAGTGTCATTACAAGCCAGACACCAGCTGTACTTATGTGTGTTCTTCAGCAGTGGAGGACAGAAGGGAAGTGAGCCTGAAGTGAAGCTGATTCTTTTTCTTCTTCTTTTTAGTATTGACTAGGTGTAAACCCCAGTGAAAAGTTCTGTTTGTTTGTCCACATCCATCTGGACTTTACTCTTGTTCCAGAACTTGAATTTTGCATGTACATCCATTGTACAGATCTGGCTTATTTGTATGCAGTGTGTTGGTTTCTTATCTCTTAAGCAGATTCACTTGAATTTTGAAGGGAAAAGCCTCTAATTAGTCGACTTTTCCAGCATGCTTGTTAGGGGGCCTGTTCCCTTGTTCTTCTTCTTTTCTCTACTCCTGGAATGCCTTGCGCCATCACGGCAGAAAGAGATCTTTGGAACGGGCCCTTCTGTTTGCTTCGCATAAAGTTCTTTTTAGTGTTTCTGATATTTCTACGGTCCGTATTCTGCGCGGTCGACCTGTGGCTCTGTTACCGCTGTCTCTGCATAACATTGCTCTCTTTGGTGCCATGTCTGATGCCACTCTTGTTACATTGCCAAGCCATCTGATTTGTTGTCTGCCTAAAAAGTCTATTCCTTTTCCTCCCAAAAATGGGCAGCATAACCAACACCGGAGTAAAGCCAGCAGTGTGTGAGGCTGAGTTACTATAAATATTAGATTTGCTGTTTGTGACTCTAGGAACTAACTTCACTGTTGATGTTAACCATTCAGTGTATTTACCAGTCAGGATGTCATGGTATTAGTGAGAACCAGGGCTTTGTTATTATGGAAACAGAGGTACCAGTACCAACCACACGGTATCTTAGAAAGGTGCCGGTCACACTGCCATGTGCCTATTACATCTGCGCTGAAGAAAACATGATTGTATAAGAAAATAAAAAGGTGCTGATAATATGTACTGTTTGTTGCCAGAAAAAAAAACCCTGATGAGGATTGTCGTCACAGCACTCCAGACAGACCAGTTGGTGCTCTGTCCCTCTTATTAGCACAGCAAGAATGAAACAGCTGATAATGGCCATTCTGTATTGATTAATCAAACTTCTTTATGTCCTTGGGTCCTTATATGAGGGCCCTTTGGGAGCGAGTGAACAGTGCGGAGGTGCAGATATATCATTATGGACTAAGGAAAATGGCACTGTGATGAGTTACCAGGGGATCTGGCCGACGCTCAACACTCAAGGGAAGGATGAGACGGATATACAATCAGATGGTTACTGGTGCCATCGGAATTAGAACTCTTCGCTTGCTGCCGAAGATGAGCAGCTGAGCACGTATGGGAGTGTCCCGAGTGCTGTGATGTCGATTCCTAATTCAGTATTCAACGTATGTCCTTGGGTCTTGGCTTTGGCTATTGCCGGTGTGTGCCTATCATTTCACGCGCGACTGAACTAGCTATTTACAGCGTGTTTAAAAAAATAACTTGTATGATTGGCTGTTCTTCCTGTGCATCAGCCCACTTGCGCTCTTCTTCTTGAACATGGGTGTATAATCTTTGTATGTGGGTGATGTATATGTGTTTATATATTTGTATATATGTACTCATGTATGTGTTTGTGTATACACATGCTTGTGTTTGTTGTGATTTGTATATTTGAATGTGTGCATTTACCCTTTATGTTTTTGTAGATTTTACTTGATATTTATAGTATGTTTATTGTTGAATGAACTTTGCATGTTTCAAAGATAAAATATAATTGCAATATTAAAGATGAGTGTTTGGAGGGCTTGACTCTAAGACAGACATGCATGCTAAATTTGTGACCCTTTGGGGGAAGAAGTTTGTTCATTTATTCTTTTGCAATCACCTTCAAAAGGGTAGGTGGTATATAGTATTGTGGTTTACAGCTAGACTGTAGTCGTTCAGCCCAACACATCTGATTTTCCCAAAGCCCTAATTAGTTACTTTTTTATGACATACTTTTTAAGGGGAGTCACCTCCCCCACTCCTTCCGCCGCCGCCCCCCCCCCCCCCCCCCCAATGGGGAACTAGAACACATACAGGAGTTTGTGTGTGAAGTGTGATTATGCTTCTCTTTTTTTTTTTTTTAGTTAGAACACACAAAAGAGTATTTGTTGTCACAAAATATTTGACACTCTTAAAAATAGTAAATTTTTGCTTTTATTGTTGTTACTTCCCTTTTGGGTAGATTCTATTAATCTTGGTAATATATTTCAAATATTTTTTTTTGGCCAGGTAAACAGCGTTACTTTCACCTTGTTTATAGTTATTAATTAATCATTTTTTACGTGTTACTTCACTTTTTTGTGAATGACAGAACAAGAATTAATAACATGTCTCTTAGTAGTCCCTTATACCAGGTAAAAATTGTTATTGCTTTCACCTTTGTAATTTTTACTGATCTCAAATGGTTAATTCACTTTTTTACACCACTAGAAATACTCATCGTATTACTTTTAAGTTGTGTTCACTTTATTTATTCCTTAGAAACTCATGATTGACGAGAAGAAGTGTTATTTCTTTGGACGAAACAAACAGCTGTGTGACTTTACTATAGATCATTCATCATGCTCCCGGGTACACTCAGCACTGGTTTGGCACCGGCACCTCTCTCGACCATTTCTCATTGATTTAGGCAGCAGTAAGTAAAGTTTCTGCCAGATGTTTCTGGGGTGGCTGCTGCATGTGAGGACTGAGCATGCGTAATGCGCATTCCCATCAGTTGTGATAACATTATGTTTCTGAGAAATCTCCGTTCATTCATGCATATATTTAGTATTGGTACTAAATTTTATCAGCGGCATAGGCGATGCAAATGTACCTCGTAATGCTCAGGTGCTGGGTTCATTCCTAGCTGCAGGCATTTTGAGAACCGACCGTTTAGAAAGCAGTGGCAAACTACTGATCATAAAATTGCCAATAAAAAAAAAATGCTGGAGTTGGTTCTGCAATATTTTGTAAAGGCTATGCAGCTTTTAACTAAACCTTTTGACAGCATGAATGTTAGAGAGGAAGAGAGGCGGGGGAAAGACCAAGACAGAAGATGTTGGACAACCTGGAATCATAGCATAGAAAAACATTTATAACAGATGTGATGAGTGGAGTGGTACATCGGACAGAAGGCTGTGGATAGATGTACTGACCTTTGCTACTTAGCGTGAACGCTAAAAAGACATTTTTTTTTCTTTAAAAAAAAAAACATTTATAGTATCCAAAGTGGATACAGAAACAATTATATGCAGTGGAAAGGGTGGGGGGGGGGGGGGGGGTGTATTGTAGACTTATTTTGTGTATACAAGATGGCAACAGAAGTTGCTGTGCAAAAAAAGGATTCTAATTCTAACTAGGTGACATTGGGTTTAAATTCCCTTTGAAGTTTGTTTTATGATTTCTCGCTTGATTTCGTCATTATCATACTGTGATTTTTACATGTCAAATTTGGCTCTGTCGATTGCTGCATTGTATTCTATCTGTAGTTAACTTGGCCTCATAACATACATATCATTGAATATTCTTCTTTCTTCTTCTTCTTCTGCCTTTCTATCCCCAAATGGAGCATAGGCCCTCAACCAACTCACGCCAAGTCGTTCTATCCTTCACCATTGCATGGAGCTCTCCCCATGTCCTCCCAATCTTTCTAACCTCGTTCTCCAGCTCTCTTCTCCATGTGTTTTTTGGCCCTCCTTTATTCCTAGTTATGCTGTTCTCCTGTTTTCTCAGTGTGTGCCCTATCCAACGCCAGCGTCTTTTCCTCACCTCCTGATCCACTGGAGCCTGTTTAGTTCTCTCCCAAAGTTCTACATTAGTTATTCTATCATACCATTTTATTCCCTCTATTCTGCGCAGGCACCAGTTAATGAATGTCTGTAATTTATTAGTAATTGCCTTGGTTGTTCTCCATGTTTCCGCCCCATACAATAGTACTGATTTGACATTAGAATAAAAAATTTTTAGTTTAGTATTTCTTTTAATTTCTTTGACCTCCACAAATTCCCTAGTGCTATGAAAGCCCCTCTTGCCTTTTGTATTCTTATTTTAATATCTCTATCAGTTCCTCCATCTGTATCTACATTACTGCCTAAATAGGTGTACGACTCCACGTCTTGATCCCCCAATGGAGCATAGGCCCTCAAGCAGTTTACGCTATGTCATCCTCTCCTTCACTGTTGCATGCAGCTCATCCCCTGTCCTCCCCATCTTTTTAACTTCATTCTCTGGCCCCCCTTCTTCATGTGTTTTTTGGTGTGCCTTTATTTCTGTACTCTTGTGAGTTCCAGTGCAAAGAAATTCTAGTTCTATTGTTCCCAGGTTGTAAAATCCAACACCAGCATCTTTTGTTCACCTCTTGATACACTGAAATTTGTTTAGTTATCTCCTAAAGATCCACATTAGTCAGTCTCTTATACTATTTAATACCCTCTATTCTGTGCAGGCACAGGTTAATGAATGTTTTTACCTGACTAATAATTGTTTTAGTTCTCATTGTTTTTGCTACATACAGCAGTACTGATTTGACACTAGAATCTAAAACAAAAATTCAGTTTAGTATTAGTTTGAATAATTTTTTTGAACATCAACAAATTTCCTAGTGCTGTGAAAACGCTTCTTGCCTTTTGTATTCATATTTTAATATCACTTTTTGTCTGCCTAGATCGGTGTACGACTTTACATCTTGGAGTGGGATATCATTAGGAGCTTAGAGATTAGTGGTTGTACTTGGAATCCCTGGCATTGCAGGGTTCGATTACCGACCATTCCCATGGCTTTCAGAAGTGGTAGTGGTCCCATGTGGGTTCTGGGATCCCATTGTTGGGGGGAAGGGGGGGGGGAGACCCCCTCCCCTTTCCCACTTCAGTGGTAGCAGTGGATGTACATAGCCACTACAGCCTTCCATTGTGAAGGGGGCAGAAATTTCTTTTTTAAGTACAATAAAACTTTGATTAACTGCCAACATCCAGACCAGACCTGTGACAGATAACCAGATAGAGGGATAACATAATATTTCTTAATGCATATGTACTGTAGGTTTGGGATGAAAATTAAAATAAAATCCTTTAAAAGCAAATAATACGAACATATTGTATTTAATTTTACACAACGATCATGAAAAACTTCTGTGTAAAAGTTGTAATGTACAGAAATGTATTGTAATGCTATAAACCTACATTACTTTAAAATAATCAGTCATCTCCTTCTTTGTCTTTGAGGCTCAGACTCAAGCTTTCTGCACAGTGTTGTTCCATAACTTACACTTAAGTAGGATCTGTGTTTCATTTGCCTCCTACATTTCAAACCAGTTGATGCACTTTGATTAAAAAAAATGTCTGCTTTCGAATGGCTAGTTGTAGGTTTTTTGTTAAGAACCGATTCTTTTTTAGACGATGATGGATAATAAAAACTGACAGTTAATCACATGACGGTTGATAAAAGTTTTACTGTATTTTTCTTATGGCTTTCTAATCCCCAATGAAGCATAGGCCCTCTGCCAACTCACGCCAAGTCGTTCTAGCCTTTGCTATCGCATTCAGCTCTCCCCATGTTCTCCCTGTCTTTTTAACTTCACTCTCTAGCTCTCCTCAATGTGTTTTTTAGTCTTCCTTTATTTTTTATGCCCCTGTGGGTTCCAGTGGAAAGACGTTCTAGTGATATTGTTCTCAGGTTTTCTGAACTGTATATTGACTGATTACATTTAGCTCACTGGAGGATGTTTCTTTATCTTTTGAAACTTTCAGCTCATGGCACTTTTATTGGACACATTCGCTTGGAATCGAAAAAGCCACAGCAGGTCCCCATCGACAGTGAAATCCACTTTGGTGCATCGACCAGAATGTACATTATTCGAGAACGACCACAAATGGGCTCTGCAGCAATGGATGACAAAGAGGGAAAGAGGGATGATTCCGAAGGAAATCTGCTGGGATTGCCTGAGTCCGAGACAGAACTAGATGTGAGGTTTATGTTTGTGAATGTGTGTTTCTGAGGTTCGCATGAGTGAGTGTTTATTTCTGGCCATAGAGTTAATTATGGTACGTATAAAGTATGATATGAGGTGTCATCATCATAATGTACGAAGGGGCTTCAAATGAATAACTTAAAAGTGTGCTAGAAATTACAGTAATCATGCTATTGTCTTAAAACATGTCAGTATTGTTGTTAAGGTTGCCAAGAGTGTTAAGCATGTGGACTGACAGGCAACACCATACTGGACTTTTTTTCACCGATTAATTTGCTTAGGTTTCACCTTTTTACTGATCCAAAATCAGATGTCAGAATGTTGAGCCTCCTTGATGCATGGTGGAATAGAGGTGTCCATATTTAAACTGTCATTATGACTTCACTCTGTTTGCATATACTGTGATGTCACATGCTTAACACTCTTGACATCATTAGGAACGATATTGACAGCTTATAAGACAATGGCATGCCTATTGTGATTTATGTCAAAATAATTAACATTTTCATTTGAAGCCCATACGTACCAGGTCCTATTTGGAGTGTTGCTGTCATCACGACACATCATAAAGTCAGCCTGCCTACTGTAAACTTTCCCGCCTCATGAACTTTCATGCTCAGGTCTTGCTTGATAACCTGTGTCCAACAATCAGCTTCAGTGTATACACATTTTGTATTATGAGGTTGAGACGCACACAAAAAACGACTTACTCAAACATCAGAAAAAGTAATTAATCATTTCTTTAGCTCCATTATACGCGAATCTTGGCTCCCAGGTTGACCCAGCATAAAATAGATACCAGGTTAAGTCCTGTGAAGTAAAGGCGGCTGAATTAAAGTTGACCTTATCACTCACTAAGTGCCAGTTGGTCTGTAAAATAAAAGATTAGTAAGTCTAGCACTGTATACCCGGTACACCTTTATATATCCTTTTAATGCACTGAACTGTGACTAATAAGCTTAAGCGAGGGGGGGGGGGGGGCGATATACAAATACAAAAATTTGAAAATTTCTGCTTGAGCCCTTCTTGACAAACACCACCAAAGCAACAACAAGGGATGAAGTATCCTGGCCACCAGTTCCCCCACACAGGGGGGAAAGCTGAAAATATGATGCAGAATGATTTTTGTTGATAAAGCTCTGGCAGAAACATCTAGTTTTTCTTGTAAGTGTGTGTGTGTGTTGTTTCCCTTCCCCTTTTGTTAAATTTCTTGGTCACAGTTTAATGGATTAATTTCTTGGTATTAGCTTGACTGCAGTCACCTCTGTTTTCATCACCTTGAGGAATTATAGATGGGTAGAAGATATTGGGGTCGGCTTCTACTGCTATATAACAATGTGTACAAACAGGACATGAATGATACAGTTATTGATTTGGATTCCTGGAAACAGGATGCCATGGACCATGTTGAATGAAGTGGTAAAATCAGGAGAATGGGAGGGGAGATAAAGGACAAATTTATTGCAGATAACTTAAAAGCTGAGCATTTGAAGGGGAAAAACACATGTCATGTACATGGGATGGCAACAGTGGTCCTGGAATCTCATCCACTTATTGTAGAAGAATTTTCTTCACTCGCGCTGGTCTTGCTAGTCACTCTTACCATGCATTGTGATTCCCTCACCAACCTACAGCCCAGTATAACTCTGTTGTCTGAAAAGACAGAAAGGCACAAAAAACAACAACAACAAAACATCAAGAATCTACAGGTCCTTTACAGAATGTAGTTCTCACGGCGCCCCTGAAAGACTCTTTCTCTAGCCAGTTTTCCAGCCCTGTGTGGCCTCTCATAGTCAGAGTGTCTTCAGTGTCCTGTGTCCATCTCCATAGAGGTCAGCCTGTGCCTTGTTTTCTGAAAACTACACCTATCATCACAATTCTCTGCAAGCCAGCATGACGCATAACAACACCAAAATGTATCAGTTTTCAGGGCAGGATGCTGTTTATGAGCCAATTCTCTTCGATGTTCAGATCATATAGGATATACAGTGTTTTTCTTCTTCTTCTTTTTTCATTCACTTGAAATAGATTATCTATATCTGCAGTGTTGTTTCTAGTATGAACTTCGTTGTCTGTTGTAATTCAGTCAGTGACTAGTAAAGTTTGGCTTGCACCGGCGTTTCTCTTGGCCAGAAGACGGTTATTCTTTTTCTTGTTTCTCAGTATTTTAAGAATTTGTCTGTAACATTTCAGTTCATCAGCTCTGCCTTTTTTCTTTAAAGATTGAATTCATAACTCTTCATCCATTAGTTAATGACGCCTGTAAAGAAACAACTGAAATTATATATGCCTCTTTTCAGAATCTAACAGAGTTCAACACAGCTCATAATCGGCGCGTTATCTCCGTTGCTGATATGCCAGAAGTACCCAACCCTCTCAAGCGCAAACACAAGGGTGCCCATGTGGGATTTACAGATGAGGAGGAAGTCATTAACCCAGGTCAGTACAATAAAGGACCCTTTTCTGCATCTTCAGGCATATTGGACACATAAGACTAAACCTGTATTTTATACACCAGTCAGCTCTTGGTGGCAATCTGGTCAGCAACACGCCGGCCTGCTTTACTTCCCAGGACTTTACTGGTACCCATTGGATCAACCTTGGAGCCAATGTATTTTTCGAAGAAAAACTGTCCAGCTCCATCAAGACCTGAACCCAAGACCTTCTGATCCGCAGGTGAGCGTCTAGCCGCTACACCACGACGGCTCCCTATTAATTCGGATAGTCTGTTTAAATATATTTGTCTTCAGAGAACGTTTTGTCTTGTTACCACAATCAATGTCACTGCACATTGGCCATTCCCATGTGTGCCCAGTCCTCCGATACAACAGCCACTCTAAGGTACTTGTGATGATTATTTCCATGAGGAGCTGATTAAAATGTTTCCTATCTCGGCCTAGAACATGGCATAGATGTGCTTCACCAAGCTTTACTCCCATGTGATGCAGACTGTGTAGCTGCAGACTGTATCAGCACACCTCTTTGTTGTTGTTATTGATGTCTTCTTCTGCATTCTTCCTTACAAATGGCAAATTGTATTATGATTTACAGTTACCCTGCGATATCCACACCTTTTCGGTGCAACACATATGATTTCAGCGAACAAAGAATTATTCTTCTTTTATAACATGCTTGTTAACTCCTTCACTCCCAAGAAGTTATGACTTGTTACTCCATCTGCCTGGGAAAGTTATGCTTATAATCAATCAATAATTTGGTCTAAAGCAATAGAGGTGATGTGAGGCAGTATTGATGCATGCATAGGCTGCATGCGTGTATAGCCTGCACCAGATTTCTGAGACAATAACTTTAGAAACAATAATTTTCTTAGATTTTCGTTGAGGGACCAACACCAAAACAGTAGTACATGTAAGCAGTGAAAGCACCACGTAAGAGCAGTTAACAGTTGCAAATCTCAGTTCCAAGTAGTACGTTATATGCAAGTGAATTTAATGCCGATTATGGCTGGGCAGGGCGCTTTAGGGCACACAGTGACCTTGTGATTTGATGGCTGACAGCAAGGCCGCAGTCCTGATAACATCCAAGAGAAACTGTTTTGTTTCCAAGACATGTTCTAAAGTTACAGAAGACACAGAACTACAGAATGGGGGGACAGTGGAGATACAAATGAAACTCTCATTTATTTATAAATTGTGTACAAGTGGCATGTAGGCCTAATGTCTCAAATATAAGCCGTACCCTGTTGTTCATGAACAATTTCTTTATTAAAATAACTGCCGCCTATCCACATAAATATAGTAATTCAGATATAATGGATTAAATAAAACACTGTCTATGATAGTAGACAGTGTGACCACAATATTGTGTTTTCGATGACCAAGAAATATTCGGTGAGTTGTTTAATACTGCAGGAGATGAATGCAGTGGACCTAGTTTCTTCCCCCTGCTCCCACACAAATATTTATGTTATGACTTTTTATGTACATGTATGTTTTTTTAATGCTAACTTTGGTTCTGGGTTGGATAATTTCTTTCATTGTTATGATAGTTTAGATACCAGTACAGTATTCTTCTATTTTTGTAGAGATAATGAGCATACTTGGATTTTTCTGAAGTGTAGCAAAATTGGTTAAGTAGGTCACAGAAATTGTTTTCTTTAAATGTTAACCTGTAGAGATCCTGTATTGAAGTGTTAAAATTCTGGTTTTTTTTAAATGTTCGCAGAGGACATAGATCCGACTATAGGTCGGTTCAGGAACCTTGTACAGACCACAGTTATACCTAATAAAGTAAGTATTTTGCTTCTGTCTTTTATGTCTAGAATTCGTATAATTTTTTGAAGTAAAACCCCGTTAACACGAATTCTAAGGGACTGAACAATTTCCTGCTAACCTCTGACTAATAGATGAATTATGAATAATACACCCTTGCTGCGACTTGAATTTTTGTTGGGGTTAACTGAGTGTCTTAGGTGAGTTAGTGTTGTTAACAGGGTTTTACTGTATCCTCATCATCATCATCATCATCATCAAGTGCCACCTCTGCCATTTAGCAGTTGGGGGAGGAACAGTTTGTAATACATTGCTAGATGGGCAGCAGCAGTGGCTGTTGTCATTCCATATCAATGTACAAGTTCCTTCATGTCTTCAGTCCATATTCTCCTAGGGTGACCGCTTGCCTTCACATCAGATCTTGTCATGTAAACCCGCCTGCATTAGTAGTTGTGATGGCTGCATTCTAACTAGATGACACCCATTTGATCTTCTGTTTCTCAATGAATTGGCTGCATGGTGTTTTTTCCATTTATTAATAAATTTTTTACAAGTGGCATATAGGCCAAACAATTTCTTGAGGCCTCAGAGATGTGGTTTTACAGAAGAAGGCTTAGAATACCTTGGTCAGCCAAAAAGAGCAACCAAGAGGTTTTGAAAGAGGCGGGAGCCCGAAGGCAACTTATCACAGACATCAGAAGGAGACAGTCATCATTTTTCGGCCATGTTATGAGAAGAGGGAAAATAGAATATGTTGTGACCACTGGAAAGATCTGTGGAAGGAGGGATAGAGGAAGACAACGAGAGAAGATTCTTGATACAGTCTTGTTGCATGGCATGGAGGTGTGTCGGCACACAAACTGATACATGCTGCAGGAGATCGTGGATTATGGAGAGGCATGATCGCCCACGCCAGTCGGCACCTAATGATGATATAAGCCGCACCCTTTTTTTCATGAACGATTTTCGATTAAAAAGAATGGGGCCTATCCATATGTAAATATAGTATTTCAGATATAATGGATTAAATATAACACATGTCTATGATAGAAGACAGTGTGACCACAATATTGTGTTTTCGATGATCAGAAAATGTCCGGTGAGTTGTTTAGTACTGCAAGAGTTAAGGGCAGTGGACCTAGTTTCTCTCCCCCACCCCCCTTTAAAAAATATTTGTGTTATGACTTTTTATGTACATTTATGTTTTTTTAATGCCAACTTTGGTTCTGGGGTGGATAATTTCTTTCATTGTTATAATAGTTATGATACCAGTACAGTATTCTTCCATTTTTATAGAGAGAATAACCACGCTTGGATTCTTCTGAAGTGTAGCAACATTGGTTTTATAAGTGGGTCACAAAAATTGTCTGATGTCATTTCTAACTTTGTCTCGGATGGTTAAGTTGGAAGTTTTTCTCAGGCATCTCATTTCACAGGTGTTAATTTTCCATCGGTTATCTTTTGAAAATGGCTAAGTCTGGCACTGTTGAGTAATGAAGGACGATCTGTTTTCATGTCATCGTCACCATCAGTCCCATAACATTGCCTATCATTGGGTCACCAGTTACTGTTGACTGTCTGGTCAGTTCTGTCCACCTCTGCTGGTCAAATGCAGTGGACTTGATGTTTGCTGTGACATTTCCTGGTATCCATTTTAGACTGCATTGACATGGGATTCCAGGTGAACATTTAAAATAGTTTGCCTTTGCGATTCATGCGGGAGACCAGGGTTTGAATCTTGGGAAAGATTGGGGATTTTTTTCTGTCATGGGGCAAAAATCAAATCATAGCCTGCAGAGTCTGTGGCTACTGCACTAGCCACACAGCATTAAACCTGTAAGGTTTAAGACCACCCTGCCTAAACCGTGAAAGTGGTTAGGAAATTAGAGGCAATGTGAATTTGAACCTCAGGCTGACTGGCAAGCATGCTATTACAGTGGCATTAGGTGCTAAATCTTGTTTTGTGTTGTTTCTTTTTCGTTACCTTGTGTTCTCATAGGCAGCTGAATTTGTTTTAAAAAGTAGATCCAAATAGTTTGCACAGTTTGTGGCCTGACATCTCTCACTATATCTTGTCGGGTGCGTACTACAGTAATTAAAAAAAATGAAACAAATAAATGGATTGTTTACAACAACAAAAAATAAGCTATACAAATTGATTGTATTTTTGTTCTAATTTACAACAGGGAAACTTTTGATTAACTCTTTCTGGATCAATTTTTTTATTTTGTTTTGCAGAGAGGTAAAATGGACCTCATGTCACTCAACCCTGCTTCTGATAATCATGCCCACAAACAAACACATACTGGCCATGGCTTGTATACGGATCTGCCAACCACTGGCCCTGGGTCTATGTTGGCCAATCCTATGAGCATTGCAGCAAAACTTGGCCTGCCAATCCCCAACCTGGCACCAGATGTAGACTTCAGCGCCCCGGCTCCTCTCCATCTGGCACCTGCCAAGCCACTTTCTGTGGCGGGAGTGGAGGAACAAGGACCCAAGGAACCTAAGAAGAAGAAGTATGCCAAGGAGGCATGGCCAGGGAAGAAGCCTACACACAATTTGTTAGTCTGAGAGAGAGAGAGAGAGAGAGTGTGTGTTTGCTGTTACTGTGAGTGTTTTTAGCTGTGTGTGAATGTTTCAGACTGTCTGTGAATTATTGAGCAAGGCATTTTATGGGATAATGATTGATCAAATAAGTTTATGTGTGTGAATGCTTGGACATTACACTTTATGTGTGAATTATTTAGCAAGGCACTTTAAATGTGTATGTGTGAATGATTTAGCATAAATGATTAGTCGTGACTCTTTGCATGTGTGAATAATTGAGCCTGAGATGTTATATGTGTGAGTGATTGATTATGTCACTTTACATATATGAATAATTGAGCATGACACTGTATATGGTTTTACGAAGAAGCAAGAAACCATACCTTCTCTTGCTATCATTATACGAAGCATAATGAATATGTGCAGCTGTGAATATATGTTTAAATAACATATTGTGCCTGCAGAGAATTCTGCTATTCTGGAACATAGCAATTCAGTTTTTCTGTATTTTCTAACATATAACTAGTTATTTTCTGCTTTTCCCATTACGTCCCAACTTTGGTTATTTTCCTCTTTTCTGTAACAAATTTAAAAAAAATGAAGTATTTTCTGCTATCTGTCAACACAGAACTTCAATTATTTTCTGCTATCTGTCAACACAGAACTTCAATTATTTTCTGGTATTTAAACACTGAATGTTAGTCATTTTCTGCTATCCACCAACACAGAACTTCAATTATTTTCTGCTATCTGTCAACACAGAACTTCAATTATTTTCTGCTATCTGTCAACACAGAACTTCAATTATTTTCTGCTATCTGTCAACACAGAACTTCAATTATTTTCTGCTATCTGTCAACACAGAACTTCAATTATTTTCTGCTATCTGTCAACACAGAACTTCAATTATTTTCTGGTATTTAAACACTGAATGTTAGTCATTTTCTGCTATCCACCAACACAGAACTTCAATTATTCTCTGCTTTTAAAATGCAGAACATTAGTCATTTTCTCCTATTCTGTCACATAAGAGCTTCATATTTTGTCCTGCTGTTCTTTAATATAGAACTTTGTTTTTTTTAAATCAGAACACGTGAGGTTTTTTCTGCTGTTCTATAACACAGAATCCAGACAAGTGGTAGACTGACTGACTTTCTACCCCACCAGGACATCACACAAGCAATAAACACCTGATGACACAATGTGCCACCATGTGGGTGAGGATCACCGTGGAAAGGTCCCAGAAACCGTGTTCAGCCGTTAGGCCATATTTATGGCTAGGCTATATTGCGGCCCCTGGCAAGAGCCAGAGTAGGGCTTCAAATAACGAAAAATTCCATTATAAAAAGGGCGGTAAATAGATAAGTGGTAGAAACAAATCAGCTCAATTATACCACCGTCACGAATGATGAACTATCATGGCTACAAAGCATTCATTATAACTTAACAGGACAGTGATACAATTACAAACATAAATTAAAAAAAATCTACTACCCCTCAACAGTAGAGAGACTGTATGACATGTTTCATCACAGGAATAAAATACTAAACAGGGTCTTACCCAGAGAAATTGAAAGGTTCGATACAGTTAGAGGTTATGGCAAGGTACGCAACTCAGAATTTTAAAATAAATCTTCCTTCGTTCGCTTAAAATAAATTATTTATTATCTGCATTGTTGTCTCTAGTATGAATAAATAAATCTGTGTTGGGCGTTAAGATTCTTAAGAAAGATAGAACCCAGTAGATTTTTATAAGACTTGAGGTTTCTTTTATTGGAAGGGTTATACTTGCTGTGCACCAGTCTGCATATCCGAGAGATGGTGCCTGTTGCACACCAGTGTGTTCCATACCAAATATTTTGCAGATGATGGAGTAAATTACATTATGGCTCATACAAAGTTGTACATCGCTGAAAGAAAGTTGTGTGCCATGGTGTCTTTTCAATTTTTTTCTTGTTAATTATTATTTTTGGCATTTAAAAATATGTCACTTGTAATTAAGTCTTCATGCCGTGTATCACTGCTTGGCATTCTTTTGGAAGCTGGATGTCCAAATGCTGCTGTTCCAATGCAGACTGGCATTAAATGATTTTTATTTTATGAAGTCAGAAGCAGTTAAATGACTTGTGTGTGTTTGATTTTCCTCTGGAAAGTTAGGTACGTGTCCTTTACGAGATGTTACAAAACCTCCCCATCAATGGATTGTGGCTGTTTTGTTTGTTTCACTTATTCTTAAAAAGTTACTTGCATATTCAAGTTACTTGCATATTCTTTACTACAGACTTGTCAAACTGAGGGGCCCCTGAGGGTCATATTTGTATTGTCATGAGGGCACACACTAACTAAAGCCATTTAATAAGGAATTATTGCAGAATATTTTTTATTGCAGGCCGCAGGTATGCTTGCAAAGGACCGCATGCGGCCCAGCTGCCATATGTTTGACTTGTCTGCTTGATGAATTTTGAATTAGGAATTGACATCACTGCACTCGGGACATTCCCATAAGCGCTCCATCCCCATCCACAGCAGCAAATGAAGAATTCTGTTTCCGATGACACCAATAACTGTCTGTATATCCGTCTCGCCTTTTCTTTGAGTGTTGAGCGTCGGCCAGATTCCCTGGTAACTCCCCGCAGTGCCATTCTATTCAGACCGTAATGATCTATTTGCAGTTCCACACTGTTCACTCGCTCCCAGAGGGCCCTGACAACATCTAGCTTGTTATACATCAATTCACCACCAAGTGGTGCAGAACCAGCTAGTCTGTCTGCATGCTCATTTCCCAACACACCGGCATGACCTGGATATAATATCCAAAGGATGTTAACTACCCTTTATGCAATTTATGCTTGATGAGATGTTATGAATGAACACCAGCAGTGACTAGCTGCTGCTGTACTGTTTAACTAGACAATTATTAACATTTAATAGTTTTTGGAACTGTATAATGCTTCTAACATTGATACAGTTGACCCAAAGTATATTATACCAAATCGCCTGCAGTTGATTTTCAAACTTCAGTATTTTGAATTGTGAAACTGTGACCACAACCTCTGAATGACAGAGGCTGACCTGAATTTATTTTTATATCCTCGTACATGAAAGATGGGGATTCTTGGTGACACAATGACTAAGACACTGGTCCCAAGGTCTTGTGTTCAGATCTTTTCCTCAAGGTCATGTGTTCACATCTGTACCCCGAGGTCTTGTGTTCAGATCTGTACCCCAGGGTCTTGTGTTCAGATCTATACCCCAAGGTCTTGGGTTCAGATCTGTACCCCAAGGTCTTGTGTTCAGATCTGTACCCCAAGTTCTTGTGTTCAGATCTGTACCCCAAGGTCATGTATTCAGATCTGTACCCGTAGGTCTTGTGTTCAGATCTTTACCTCAAGGTCATGTGTTCAGCTCTGTACCCCAAGGTCTTGTGTTCAGATCTGTAGCCCAAGGTCTTGTGTTCAGATCTGTATCCCAAGGTCGTGTGTTCAGATCTGTACCCCAAGGTTGTGTGTTCAAATCTGTACCCCAAGGTCTTGTATTCAGATCTGTACCCCAAGATCTTGTGTTCAGATCTGTACCCCAAGGTCTTGTGTTCAGACCTGTACCCCAAGGTCTTGTGTTCATGTCTGTACCCCGAGGTCTTGTGTTCAGATCTGTACCCCAAGATCTTGTGTTCAGATCTTCTATTAGATGGATATACAGGTTCATTGAGAATGATTGCCGGAAATTTAAACTGTTGTTGTAAAAGAAGCATATAATGGATATACTTGAGTGCCATCTTGAAATATTCAGACATTGTTTAATTTGTGTGTCCATGAGGCTGAAAACAGATTCTGGAACAGTGGTACCGAAAATCGACCATTCCAGAAGCACTGGCACACTAAGGTTAGTTGTGTATCCTTTACAGGACGTTGCAGAACCAACCCCAGTAGCCCCTGGCTGTTGTTTGGTTTCTCTAAGCAAATTTACGTCCAGTAGTTTGCCATTGCTTTCTGGACGGTCGGCCCCCTGATACCACTGTCGAAACTAAGGCAAGGCGCATGGCCCGCAGCTGGGATCAAACCCGGCATCATGAAGCATTTGCATCGACTTAGCCACAGAGCCGACAGTGGCACACCATAGAATGTACAATTTGCCTACAAAAACCACAACAGCCAAAAAAAAAAAAAATTTTTTTAATGCTGGTGTGGTTCCTTAATGTCCTGTAATGGATACACAACTAACTGTAGAGGCAGAGGGGACTTTTATTTTATCCCAAAATTGGGCCTTAAAACCTACATGGGTATACAAAACGTAAGGTCATTCTTTTCAGAGAAGCTGAATGCATAGGGGAAGTGGCCACAAGGAAAGCCAGATTTCTTTAATATGCTTCGACCAAATGTCAAAACTGAGAAAAACACATTATGCAATATACGAAAAGAGCTTCTGGCACAGGTTTCATGGATTGTGACTGCAAAAGTTCATTGTTTTCCGGAGCATACGAAATTGACTGGTTCGGTTTATTTGCTTTTTTTGTCTCTTATTTCTTTATGGAATTGTTAATGCCATTCAAAGTTAATGTTACGATTATTGAAGCCAATTTTGTTTTTGGTTACAATAAAAGTGTACACCATCCAAAGGTATTGTCATGTATTTGTACAGATATTAGCATCTTATGTTTTATTTCGACATGGTTTTTAAAATACATGATGTTTTTTGTTTAGGTGCTATTGTCATGGTTTTCTGTTCAGATGCCATCTTGATGTTTTGTCTTCAGATGTCATCATCTAATATTCTGGTTTGTGTCTCATTGTTTAGTTTTATGGGTTCAGATGCCAACACCATTCATTTTCATGTTATCACCATGTTTTCTTCGGATGGCATCATGTCATGCTTTTGTTCAGATATCATGTTTTCATCCATATGTCATCACAGTTTGATCACACACACATGTTAACATGCACGTACGCACACACATATTTATATATACACACACACACACACTCCCCCCCTCCACCGCCCCCAAAAAGAGCATAGCTACTGAAAGG